AGATGCGAATGAATGCAGACGTCAACAACTTTAGTTTTAGCAACATTTGCTACCGCAACAAACACCTTGCTCTAACTTAGGATGTTGCAGCTTTGCAGTCAAATAATGTTGGGTAGGGTGAAATATGCCCTAGTTAAACATATCCAAATTTTGCGCGATTTGGTCTAATAACAAAAAAGTTATGAACGAAAAAGCGTCGAAGCATTTCACCGAAGACTTTTGAGCGCTACTGTACGTACTGCGAAGTTGACAGTCAGTTTTTACAAAACATTCAATACTTGCTTATCACAGCACTCATCGAAAATTACGTCAAAACTTGAGCTCTCCAATATCTTTTCGATGCTTCATCGGCAGTTTCCATTTGGTTGTACTGAACCCTCTGCGCCGCAACTGAGTGAGTGTATCATTACTTTTCTTCCTCCGGGAAAGTGAAAAGGTTTCGGGCAGAATCGGTCATAAAACTTATCTTTATTTCATATGGCACAAATTATAATCGCAATCACACATTTTCGTTAAAGAATACCCATGTGTGTATAATCAAACGCAAAGACAAAGATCGCACTGAGATCGGGACTGAACTTGCATAAATATTCGGACTGAGAATGGCTAGAAGTGCACTTCCCTATTCCTTTCACATAGTTAGTTACACATGGTTTACATGATATGCAGAGAAAGCGTCTAAGAAAAGAAAAGGACACAACAAGTGACATACTGAATACCGCAAACATCTCATCACTCACAGAAGATAGAGCCAGTCATTGCAGCATTTAGGCGACACTTATGAACTATCAGACAGTCTGAAGCGGATCCTTCAGATGACTCGCATGGGCACACCGAGATGATTGGGGACGAGCGAAAGAAGTTGTTGCTGATCTAAGTTTTCTCCATCAAAGGGCTGCAGTCAGTGGAACGGTTTTGAACGAGTTTGGCGTGAGTGCGTACACCATCCCTCGGTGATCCCGTTTGTGACAGTTGTTGACTGACCTGCAACAAAAGGTACATTGGCCCAAATGTCAATAATACATCACAACTTCTACAACAAAGGAATTCAGTGACTACTAAGAATGAAGGTTGTGAAATTTCAAACGCTGGTGCTTTTCTGTGAACTCTCCAGATGTTGCTGCTGAGACAGTTCTCAGAAGAACTGTTTGCTACGAAATCGGGACGCCATAGACGCATTTACGCGTTTCTACTGATGTGTAAACACCCTCTGAGCGCATACATAATTAGTCAAACAAGAGGAGCTGCTCACCAGAATAAGCAAGAATAGGGTGACACACGTCCTCGTGTAACGCGGGAAATTTTCGGGGGAGCCGCTCACCCTGACCTTCTGAGCTTCTGAGCTACAACATTCATTCAGGTTATATCCGTAGTATGAATTACCTTCGTGAGGTAGCTGATGGACAAGTTAGAACTTTCATACTGACAAGCAGGTGCCATTGATCGAGTTCGTAAGATTGAAAAGTTAGGTTATTCTGGGCGGGTATCAAATCGAAATTTGGTTTCTGGGTAGTACAAGTGCCTGTGCTCGAGCCCATACAATGAATGGCGGTGACCAGCCGATGTACAAGTCAGCACTTTTACCCTCCTAGACGAGTCTGGTACCAGTTACCTGATCCTAGAGTGATGGAAAGCTTGTTTGCCCTAGGTTAGTATCCATCCGAGATTCGAACCCGTGACCATTCGTCTGGGGTAGTGCGCCAATTGCCACCACACTACATACCTCCTCCTTAACTGACCAGAATATATTCAGAACATTTATATACATTCCCAAATCCTTCAGCTCAAATGATGTAACTCTAGCTTGGCGAGGGTTATGCTCACTAATTGCATTTGAAATCTGATGAACAAATTTTGAGTTGTTTTCCTATGAATTTTTGGGTCTATTTGCGAATCGCTGACGATAACATTCACAGTTCCGTGAATCTAAGTAATAGCGTGACATCGAATCAAAAATTTTGTTTTGGAAAATAGCAGCACATATAAGTCACTGCGATGGCGATCTCTTCAAGGGGAATTCATTATGAAAAGTACTTCCGGGAAGAAAGCGAGATCTTCAAGGTGGGTGGCGAAGTCATTAAGTTTTCAAAAGATATAATGGTGTTACCCTCACTTCCACATATTTTTCTTGATGCCATCCAAATGCGAGTACCCGAGTTTCTCAGGCGAATTTAATCACATCAAGGAATCTACATGGCAACATGTCCGTTGCTGCGTATGTTTGTTTTCAGGTCTAACAATGAGTAATTTCCATATTAGGTGTCCGTTGAAGCGAATAATTAATGACAAGGAAAAAATCTGAAAAAACGGGGAAGAGAGGATTTCTTTGGAAATTCATGTTCAACAGCCAGAACGTTGACTTTCCAAGTACCCAATCATTCTCGCATTTCCCTATCATGCTCACCGAACTCGTCTAATGACCAGCTGTTTGCGAAGCAAGAGAGCGACTTTTGGTCAGAAATGAATTAAACATCCGTAATCACATTTCTGATATAGAATTACTGAGATAATCGTAGTGAACCACAAGCTGTTTACCTACCTGACTAGTTCGACGCAACGCCTTCTCCAAACGTTTCTCGTCTCTTCTCAGAAGCCGTAGGCGTAGACGCTTTTCTAACCATCTGAAAGAAATGATATGGGTGTAGTAAAGAATATGCAGCAGCCAAAAAAAATCATTCATGATGGCTCTCAAAAGCCAATTTAGGGATTGTAAAGCTTGCACTGAGAAGAAATAGGCGCAGTGATCTTCTATTAGGCCCTCCAGATGCCAACCCTATGGCCTTCCAGTTCTACTGGGCAAACACATTAGCCACAGAACTCTATTCATTTTCTTTTCATTACACGTGGGATATCGTTGATCAGTTGAACACCTTGAACTTTCTCTTAATTAGTTCTGGTACCATCTCGGTAACTATGGCTTCATATCTTGCAGGGATCACTGTTGCCAGTGCTTATTGAAGACTGCAAGAAGCCATTTTTTAATCATTTGGCATTTAGAGAAGTCTTTTCCCTTCAAAGAAAGACGAGACCAGAGTTTTCTGTGCAATGAAAATAGTATAAAAATCAAACGATGCGAGCAAACATCAAATCTCCTCTCTCTCGCATCCCTTCAATCCCGGGGTCACTAGAAACAGCCTAACGTCATCCAGAAGCCAACCGATCTGTGACTTTTCTGAGACTTCTTCGTGATCGGATCTTTGAATAACAAATAGAGCTCACCTTTTCTTTCCGAAGTAGGCCAACGAGTTCGTAGCCGAGTTGAGCACGATCATAAAATCCGATATCCGCACAAGAATAGAAAGTGCGACTCCGAAAGACTCTATTCCATACAGATTCTCGTATACATCGAAAAAGACAGGCATTGATCTGAAATGACAAACCATTTTGAGTTTTTATCAAGCTTATGGCAATGGATAATGCAAGGAGTCCCTCAAAAGCTCCAGAGGCTACAAAGAGGCAGAAGCAAAAAATCTATGGCTTGAAAGTGGTTAGGAAGACAAGGGCAAGCAGGNCCCTTCAACAAGTTGCAAGTGATATGACTGTCAAGAACAGGACAGAGTAAAAAATACCGTAATAGCCTAGTGACATGAAAGTACTAACCTGAATATGAGAAACTTCACAGCTATAAATATGGCTACTGTTCTTGACACCTTTTCTTTGGACTCTTCCATAAGAACAATCGATCGACTTCGTTGCTGACTTTCAAAAAGTCTGCAAAACACGCTTCATGGAAAGCCAGATTTCAACAAAATTGAACAAATTCTACAACAACGAGTTCTTTCTGTAATAACTCCGGAAATGGCTCAAAACTGGTGCTTCTAAAAGTTGATGATTTGTCTTAGAACCCAATGTATTCAGGAGCCTCCACAAAGAAGTTTCTCGGTCTTTAAATAAAGCAGTCTTTAGAATAGACCACTCAGGAGCCTATCGGCTTTCGGTGGATAACCGAAAAAGTGAAGCAGAACAGGAACAGTGCTTGTTGACCTCCTAGTGTGAGTCGTCCATCTGAGGGATATGAATCAATTAAGGTGGACGACTCATATTCGGGGATATCTATCGTCACGCTTGACGCTGTACGGCTTACGTGGTCGGGAGGGAAGAAAGTCATTCTTGGTGACTGGTATACTTGGTGCCCTCAAATGTTGCCTACGTCAATTCGTCTCACTTTTGTTACAGGACCACTCGATGATTCGATCAACTGAAATCTCTAGCCAACTACATATTTATTTTTTATCATTTTTTGATGTATTAGTTGCCTAACATTGGTTAACAGCAACCTCATGCCATTTGATAGGGATAGCTCTAAGACGGTCACTTACTTTCTCCTCTTCTTCAAACTCCTATGAACACGATACTCGGTGAGAACACTTAGGATCAGGATAGTGGCAACAGGACCGATCGTCTGAGTCAACGTCATCAAAATCGCTTTGTACCGAGTGAACTGAAAAATTCCCATTTCCAATTTCAATTTAAACAACTTCTTACAGTGGCAGCTTTTTTGAAGAGCTTTTGGAAAGTTGCAGGTGGCCTTGTATCACAAAAGATAGGAAATTCACTTACCGAGTGCCGGAATACCGTAGGAGCAGGGCAGGAAGCTTCGACCCCGTGCTCGACATCAAAGCAACGTTCCACGGTGAATTCGAAGTACACAGGGATGTTGACCGCAAAGCAAAGGAAAATCACCAGCCCTGCAACAAACAGATACTTTCAGAACTTCCAAAAGCTTTGTGTCGGAAGAACTAGAGCTAGTCATAAGGTGGTCAGGCATCTGAGCTTGATTCAGAAAAACAGGTTCTTCATTTTTCAGTTTCTCTGAATTGCTAGTGCAAACGAATACCATCCGAAGCGGCCGGGTAAATTCTAGAATTGCTGAGCAGGACTTTAACGGAAAAAGTGCCGGTCAGGACTGGTGCTTTTTATGGACAGGTCAGGCTTTTGGGCCACATTTGTGAACAAATATCACTCTAGGACGAGTTGAGACAGCCGACCGCTGAAGGAACGGCAGCTGCGTCTCCTTTTCGAATGTTAAGCTCAGGTTGATTGACACAGCTTCCCAAAGGTATTCCTTGCTCGGTCTGAGAGCGTCTTATGCATTTCTATAAAGGTGAATGGAGTCGCAGTAATAATGATCCTATGTCAAAGTCTTGTTTTTAGGTCTCAAGCAGATTTCATGGTGATCCATGTAGAAAAAAACTTTGCTTTAATCTGCTACCTACACTTGTTGAAGTGACCTTTTGACCCCCCGGAATTCCCGGAATCCTCGAGACAGTATCATGACGCAATACAAAGAACTACATTTAGGTAATGGCACTGGAAGTTACAGCTGTCATTTGGCGGACGTTCCTGTAATGGACGTTTTACCCTCATGTGCCTTTTTTCTGGTGAATCCACATGAATTTCACTCGCTTGCTACTCTGGAAGTTTTTTGTGTTCTTCGGATAGCGTTTTATTTTTTATAGGTATAAAAGAGTATAAACGATACCACGGAGAACCTCGAAGTACTTCCGAAGAACTATGGAATGTAGGTAGTAGTGAAACTTATGAGGACAATCTTGTTTGAGGCCTACCTGGTAGGAGGCATGATCGAATGTATTCACGTAGTGGTAACTGTTCTTTGGTCTTGTTGCCACCTCTGCCCTTCACCGATCCCGCGGTGGAATCCATCTCCGTCACCATTGACGCTTTTCGTTGTTTCGTACTCTGGAAGGAGAAGTTGAAGTCAAAGGTCGACTGCATCGGAAAACAAACAGAACTTCGAAACAGATGGTTCCATCAGTGTGAAAAAGTAGTATTTCTTCTTCTCAGTCATATCCGGACCGAAATATCCACCTGTGTTAGCCCAACTTACCGCTTTTTTCGATCGCGCCGAGTAATAGGACGAGGCATATCGTAACGGACGCATCACAACCATAAAACGAAGAAAAGTGATGTAAATCACAAGCATTGTCTGAAAGATATGTACATATAACAATATAGTCTAGTCTCAACACCGTAATTCATTGTGTCCAGGTCCCTTTGGGTCTTTCTTAGCACGTAATTAGAGCGCCTTTTATCAGCTATGAAAGAATTCGCAATGATGTCACAAATAGAACGGAAAATGACGTGTCCTTCTGAGTCATCTAATTAACGAGTTCACAGAAGAAGCTTAAAAACAGGAAGAAAGGAAGGTGGAACGTCTGCAGGCAGAATGAGGCTGACATCAATAGCAAAGCTAAATGGGCCGAATAGTGCGAGGATCCACTACGAGGAGTTCGGGCGGCATAGGCCAAAGTGAAGCAGTGCGAAACCTTTCCGACGCAATCAACAGGCTTGTGTGGGGCCAAGCATCCATTTAGGTGAATTTTATCCCCTATAAATTATTTCGCTACCTAACCTGAATTTCGTCTTTCAAAGTAGAAATCCCCGATGTGATTTACTTTTGCAAAAAAGGATTTTAAACATATTCCCCCAAATGGTTCGATTCACATAGGGGAATGTTCCCGCCATCGAACTCACAAAAACGCAGGAAAAGTGAAGACATCTCAGATGCGTGACACTATCTTTAAGTTGTGCATAGTTCCTGGGCTTCAAGATCCCGAAAGGGCCTCGGGTTAAAGGGATGGGATGGAATTCAGTGTCATCAGGCATAGAAGAGGCAGAAAATATTCTATGGAAGGTTGCATGGTTGCAGGGTCATTCACGCCAGAGTATTGTAAGTCAAATAGTCCTACATAAATCAAGTGAGGCAGGGAAGAAGAGCCAGTGAACAGGTTTCAAGACTCAGAGGTGGGACATAGGCAGGCGTAAAAGTGGGGCTTCCAGTCGGTCTCCCCAATTTCCCTCAAGCACTTTAGTACAATGCAGTCAAAAAGTTTTTACCACGAAGCTTCTTTCTACTCAAGTCACCGTGTTTTGAGGAATTTATGTTGCCTCCAGTTTGAAAAAATGTCTTATCGAAGAGATCTCAGCAAGTAAGCAGAATTATGTAATTGAATCTCACCGAGGCAGTGGTAAGACTTTGAGCGACGCCATGCAGACTTGAGGTGAATAGCTGACGATTATACATAAGGTTCGTGTTGAGGAACAGTACACCGATCGCTTCGATACAGTAGAAGAGGAATACGGTCATCATCAGAAGCGAATCGATAACGCAGAGCGAAAACAGAGCTGAAAAAAGAGTCATTTGATGGAGGCTCGAAAAAAAAANAAAAAAAAAACAAAAACCCAAAAGGGAGAATGCAATCCTTGATGAAATATGCTTATACGCAGTGATCAGCCGTTACTGTTTTGTGATTGTCGAGGATCGATGGCAAGGGCAGGTCGAAGTTGGTGAAAGCATATTCGATTTATTTACAAATAACACGATCTGTTTACTCGAAAACACCGAATATATAACACCTCCGCATAGCAGTGTCATTGAATTGGCTACATGCTACTGAGTTTTCGACATCGCATATTTTTGATATTGGTCTATCAAGAAGCATCTACCTTACACCAGCCCATCACGAAAAACAGTAAGCACTTCTTTTCCTCTCCTGAGCGTTGATCCCAACATCTAGTCAGTCGTCTTCTTTTCCTTCTATATACGGCAATTTCCTCTTGAACAGGGGGTTTTAGCATGAACCCTTGAAATCTTCGTTTCTAATCCAGCCCAGCCGCGCCTAATTGCAGACAATCCTCATTTGATCGGAATGAAACTGTCCCTAATAGATTTTGCTTACGGGTCAGCACTCACTGCATCGTGGTCCTCACCACAGTACACCTTCCTCTGAGCGGCCTGCATCACTGCAGATCTCAGAGGGTATAATGAACTCCCACACTTCGTCCATGCCGCGTTTATGCGTGCACTCGTTCTTCGAAGACTGACCTTTTTTACTGTAATATTACTGTAATGTTAGCTAGGGCTATGAGATCCTTAAAAGATGACAAAAGCACTAGATTGTACATTGGCTGGTCAACTCAAGTCACTGTATAGGCCAAATACGCGTTCAATACCACTAGAATTTTGAATAAAAGTCGAATGAGTAGGCGCATCCCTTAAACGGGACTGATCAACATCCGAAGTCTTTATCCTTTCGACTTTTTGTTTCTTTCGAAATAATTGTGGACTGGCCTCCTCCTCCACCAAACTATTCACATGGATTTGTTACCGCTCCCTGAGCTGATATTTTCATCTTGTCAATCGGAATTCATCGGACAATCGTATACGCGTAGAAGTGAAGCTCTCAGTGAAGCTTATTAAATGAACTCATCAGATATAGTAACACACAAGTGAAACAGATTGTGTGAGTTTCCAAACCCAATTCTTCACTTTCTGATGGACGTTTGAAGTGAAGGGAAAAGCAGTAACAGTGGCATTCGTTGAGATTCCCTCGTAATTGGATGTTAGCTTGAACGAAGTTGGATATTTTCAAGCGAAACGTGACTACATAAAGGTTTGCTCAGAGCAGTAATTACTTGTATTCGACTTGATAATTCATGCGTGTGAAACGAGTTTTGTGCCCCTTCATGTGTTAGCGATCAAAGGCGGCAACGTGTCGCTCCGTTTCTCACCTGCCGTCAGATCCTTGTTCAAGCCGGCTCTGAAGAGAAATCGTACAGCAAAGTGGACTCCGATCAAAGCGAATATCGCTGCCACACACGTACATGGTCCCTGAAATGATGTCGCCATCAGAGAGAGTATAGGACTTCGAAGGGTTCGAAGAGAGCACTGGCAGAGTATAATATGTAGAACAAAAAGTAATATTTCTATTTATTAAATTAATTCTTACACATATTGGTATTGAAGAGGCATCATTAGAGTTCTTAAAGGAAATTTTAATCTTGTCAACAAGCAAATGATAAAAAACTTCGCCTCATAGAAGGTTAAGCCGAGGAAAAATGCGGGTTCTCGTGATTCGTTTCTTTTTTGGGATGGCTTAGCACGAAGCAAATTCTCGTTAAAATTGTACATGCCCTTGAGCTGGGTTCGATAAGCTCCATAAGTTGGTAATTAAAATTCTGGGGAAGCTTCATGCCGAATTAATTCGATTTCGTGATCTGTTCTTAAAAATATTGGCGGTGGTGGCGTGGAGGCAAGTGGCGCTTTATCACACACGCATGGTCCCATGGTTCAAATCGCAGACTGATATCCGCCTAAGCTAACCAAGCCTTTCATACGCCAGTTGATCGGCACCAGTCCAGCTTTTGAGGATAAAAACACCGACTTCTTTATTGGCAGACCACCGGAAAAGTTGTGTAGGAACACATACGCATGTACATCCAAGTGCCACTACAATTCTGAGCAGAAGTCGAGTACTAGGGCGTATCATCAAAGAGGCATTGATTCATGTTGGAAGAGTTTATTCTTCATTCTTGAAATTGAAAATCTGTATGGACTTTACATCTGAATCAGGGAGGGTAGCGATGAAATCGGACGAGATCTCGGTATGTAGCTTGGAGTTAGGTCGCCGACTCGATTACCCGAGAGCTGTTCGCTAAATGTGGCACTGAATGTACTAGAATTTTACATATCAAGAACTGGAAGATACTCGTCTTCCTTTGCCACTACATAGTCAGATAGTACCATGCTGTCGTTGTTCTTGTAGCAGTTGTTCAGCCTTACCTTAGATCCTTTCCACTTCCTCAGAAGCGTGAGATGGCTCGAATTTTGGGATACTTGAAACTAATGATGAAGTTATGCCGAACACTGTAATTATGCCCGCGGACATTACAGTTCGCTCAGAATAAAGAAAGAGAGGGATTATGTTTTTTTTGGAAAAATAGAGTTTCGAAGCTTCTGGATAGAATCTTCTCCACCCATGACTCAAATATTCATCGGGCAGCTTTGATTGAAGTTAGGAGATACTGGTGACCAAAATTTCAAAAAGGACAACTAATAATCATAAAGAGATGTTCTGGGCTATATATGGGCGTAAAAACCCATTCTTCTCGAAGAAGAACTTTTTAAGGAGCGATAAAATCTGCGCAGAAGAACATTAATTTCTGAACCAAGTGAAAAGGAACAGACTAATTTATTTTGCAAAACAGACTGCAACCTTTTTCAAGAGGAATTAATTATTTCAGTTATCTAAATAGCTATCTGTTAATGGAAATGCTCGTTTGTTTGGAAAGATTCGCAATGCTAACACCAAAGATGGTAATGACAAGAGGTCGCACTTATGAAGGTCGCTGCCTTTGAAAGGAGCAAAGGTTTGGAGGATGTGTGCTGTTTTCCTCTTCTGCAATCCGATTCACGCTCATGCCGTCAGCTCAACTTCCATTTTCACCCTTCCCTGATTTTCTTGACGTCATTCAGGGGGGATTCATTAGCAAAAATATGCTATCGTATCATCTTGCCAGCAGCTCATAACAGTGTAGATTCTGGTCAAAGAAAAACAACCATTAAGTACTTACTGGTAATTGCCATTCATAGGAATGTATAAGCAGTTTACAACTTATGTAATTAGCCGAAAATCGAAAGTAATATGTAATATTAATAATAATTCCAGTAATATATAATACAGTAATATATTTCCGCAAGTTTCCGCTTCTCTCGCTTTCGCCTAAATACGTTCCCAACCATTAACTTCAAAAAGTTCCTCTGGTACTTCGGAAGGCTATTCCGACGATTATTCGAAAGATGTCAGGGGTTACGCTTTGACCCAGCCTGGGAAGGGTATTGCAGCACTGACTGGTAGCGAACGCAGTCGACTGGCTGTGGTTGGCAGTGGCTCTACTCGAAAGCATCTTCCAGTAAAGGAGCTGTACCGACTGGGAGGGTATCTGCGCGATGAAGATGTAACTACCGGCAAAATGGAAAGGGAACTAGACCGAAACTAAACCGTCCGCTTTGCTGTAATGAACCGTCTATTATAATCGTCATCCTTCCAAGGTACATACAGGCGTCATCCTTGCTCCATACACATTTTCATACGAAAGCTCATTCTGTGAGAAACACCCTCGACCACATTTTTCATCCAAACAGACAAAAACTTTCGAAATAATAACGGTCCCGAAACGCAGCTGTGAACGTTTCATTTCAATTGGTCTCATCTACCTACCAATTCTCCACTCCATCAGCTGTCAGTCGTTTACAAGCTAAAGAGATGTCGAACATCTCGATTTTTCAAGGAATTAGATTTTATTACAACGAGAGGCTTGGACGTGCTTCACTTTCATCAGCCAATACCAGTCAGTTCATCTTCGCCAGTGCCTGAGGATATAAAATGTGCCTTCATGAATGCTTTATTAGCTTTCAAAGTCCTAGAGGCCAAAGGAGAAGGTCTGAAAGCCTCTATTCAACGACGTCGTGATTTATGGCCCCATTACAGTGACATTTGTATTAATGCAACATTAAATACTTCGTCGTCGTTGTACAGCTGACACAACATTACAGCTGAGCTGGCTGGTCGACATGAGGTAAGTCAGCATAAATGCAACTGCTTGAATATGATTTACCGGAGCGGCTGACATCTGTTACATCGTTTTTTATGTGATGGCCCGTTGAAAGCGGCTTTTCAAGTGAGGTTCTGACAACAGTTTCCGCTAGAAACCGATAATTTACATGGGAGTTTTTGACTGGATGTCTTTCCATGTGCTCCATTCATGTTAGGTCCATAAGAATAACATGAAAGTCATTTTTCTTCTGACAATGTGATGGATTACTGGAACTCGTCGATGGAAAAACCCAAGAATCTCATACACCTGATCCTTAGTCCTGAATCCGAACGGTCTAACCATATCTCAGCTGCCAATGACTTCAAAGTCAATATTCTAATAAAACTGGGAAAAGAGTTCTGGCATTGATCAATCCCATTGTGGAATGCGTCTCCGTATTTAACTTCTGCTCAGGATCGTAATGGCTCTTCTCCGAATGTGGCCTAGCCTCCAGTGTTGTGTGTTGTCTCCTCCCAGGTGAGCCTAACACCAACTGGGAAACTCCAGAGGGGTAGCGGCCCNAAAAGCTCTAGATGGAGAAAGCGTTGGAGGATAGGCCGCATTCAGAGAAGATCCGGGACGTTCCTGAGTCATGGGTGTGATTGTGCGCCCTTTACCACTACACCACCCCCATTACTCCAATTAAAAGTGCAGCTGTGGAACCAACCACGTGGGAAAACCAGAATCGTATGAACATTTGGATTTTATAGATATCTGGTTGCATGAAGCAGTGAGCATTATTACCAAGTATCGTCCCCTACTACAGCCCACCCCTCCTCTCTCTATCCCCGTCTGCAACAATCGGCCGGACTTATTTCCATCAAAGCTGTGAAGCCATCACAAATGCCACAAAAAATGTTACAAAAAAGCCATCACAGATGCCCTTAGATAGAAACCCCGTGGAAACTTTCAGAAAGTCCCCTTGAAAATATTGACTATCGCTTAACTTTGAAAAAGCACTTTCCGCCCAACCTGATAATACACTCTAAGGTTGAAATAATCGAATAAATGAGAGCTCTGTTCACAAGCCTCTCATTATCTACCTCATCCATTTATACGTCATTCTTTATGACCTCAGCAAGAGCTACACAAGTCGAATGCTATCGCAGTAAAGGTTCTTATTTTGTCATAATAATGCAAAGAATAGGAAAGAAGGATTAGTGCCATAAATAGACCACAAATATTTGTATTGCCGTGTTTTTCCAAAACATAGCTAATCTATTGTGCAGCGTTTATAGTTATCAGCGGCAAAAACAATAATTGACGCTACAATAGCTACTTCCTCATCAATCACAACTGAGCTATCAAGCTTACTTATGCTAAGACTTTGGTGCGGGAGATCTTCTCGAAGTTTTTTTTTGATGTGCCCTGCTAATACGGCAGGAGTTGCTCAGAAAAAATTAGCATGTTTTGGATATACAGGGTATAAGCTAAATGCGTGGGTAATGCCAGAGAAGCCGATTAGCACGTGGGCAACTATCCGCCATCCATGGAGCTAAAACGGCATCATGGGACAGTCTCGAGATATGGCTGTATTGCCTACTATTCTGTCTCCCAAAAGGAGTAAAAAAGGGAGTTGTACGAGATTGTGTGCCTGTAACCGTCTGGGTGTCTCTCACATTAGCATACTATTCGTCGGCGTCCTAACACTTCGTTTTGGAAGGTGCAGCCTTAACGAGGCCGTCAGAACAAGGCCCCCTTTTGGGCGTGTGCGTCGGCTATGCCGCTTTCCGTGCTCTCACAACACCCTGTCGAGGTCGTTTTTCGTCTCGCCAATGTCCCAAGGGCTATCTTCGTAGACCACACAGGCTCATCCCAGGGGAAAACCTCGCAAGCCGTCCTCACCGTTAACTACGCCTTTAACCGAAGGTGCCACCGATTCCCTTCCATACTCGTAGATAAGGGCTGAGCTATGAATGCCTTGAAAGATATCAAAGAAAGCTAATGAAGAGGCACAATAAAGACGTAATCCATAACAAATTGACTTATATGAATCATGTCATGTGAATTACTGAAATTCGAATAAAATTCAATTTTCTAGAAGGACTTACATCGATCCATAGTGCAATGGAAGTGATGCTGTCATGGGACGAGTACCGATAGGTACAATTCCTCAGAGTGCCGTTCTTCATAGACAGTTCCCTGGAACAGACACAGAGGAAATGTTGAGATCGTGTAAACAGGAGGACTGATGGTCGTTTGACGACGACGTGAGAAGCCTCCTAGGCCACGCCCACGGCTATCTGTGTAGGAGTTTCATGAGCTTTTCAAGCAAGCACAAATGTTACAGCTGACCTATGAGAGTAGATTATTGCCAGTAAAGTTTTG